ACGGGTCTGTATAATACTTGAAACCATAAGAAGTATACGTGATTATTAAAAACAATTAAAAACAGATAAAATTTGTATTTTATGGAGGATGCAATTTTTTGGGGATTTCAAAATAATGTACTAAAACATTAAAAGTAATAAGTTCAAATCTGTAGCAAATATAAATATTGTAATCATTTCTTATAAATACGATTTCCTAATGTAATTTTCCAAGATATTAAAGATGATAATGCAAAAAAAACTAAATTTATTAAAAGTAATAGGCTTTATGTTTTTTAAACTACCTACATTTGTCAAAGTATTTATTGAATTTTCGAAAATATTCTTCCTGTAGTTTTATTGTTGGAATGAAATATAGCAAGACTTGCATTGCCTACTAAGAAAGTTAGTAGCTGGTAGTCATCGGGTTGAATAACTTACTTTTAAAAATTTAACTGGTATCATACCACTATTGTAAGGATGACATTACTACAGCTAGTTTGCAGGAGTTAAACACTTATTTCTTAACATAATAATACAATATTATCTAAATAGGCTTTCTAGTTTTATTCTTACTCATTCTCTACTGGCTTTCAAATTTTGTACAATAACATTACAGATATTGAAAGTTTTATTAAAAAAGAAGAAATTTATATTATTCTCATATATGAGCTTCATTATTAATTGTTCTAATCACATGCTGGGGGATGGAGGCATGTAGTAGTAGAATGAAAACTACAAAAGAAAATAACTTCTATTCTCAAGGAATGAACTTCATAATAAATATAAATTTATGATATGATGTGCAGAAAAATTCTAAAACAATTGATAAATGCACTGTTTACTTTTTGGAGCTGTGCTAAATATGTTTGAAATTTTTCTTCCAAGTTATATTAAATAAATGCTAAAAAATGAAAAAAATCAACTTAAAAATATTTTTCAGTTAAAATTGTTTAAATAATCAGAACCTAACTTTTGTGGTATAATTTTTTAAGTAATTTTCTATGAAACACCATATAAAAACTTTTTAAAATCTATGTACCCCAAGTCTACACCCTTTCCATTGCCCAAATAAACAAGAACATTCTTGAAAAAAAGGTAACATGTTACCAAGGCAAAATTTCCATTGAGTGAATCCATACTGGCCTACTTTTATGATATTTCACTAAATTTTGCAAAGCTTCTTTTATCAGACTCATGAGAAATTTTCCTACTACAAAAGTACAACTAACTGGCCTATAATTTCCAAGACAACTCTTATCCTGTTCTTTAAAAATAGGAGTAACATTTACAACTCTCCAATCCTCAGGCAACTAAACACTGTTATAATGACCTACCAAAAATGAGGTATGTTTGCATATCTGATCCTTAGCATCCATTACAACTCTGGAAAAAAATCCTACCTATACATAGTCCTTTTATGTAGGTTTCATCTCCCAATTTTACTTTTTACAACTAAGGAATTAGTATCTAAATGATTCAGGTCAATTCTATTTCTAATACTTTCCATAGGATGCTTTGGATCTGAAATATTAACTTCCCTTGGAAGAAAGAAAACATTTGAAAGCTTTATGCTAGTTTGAATTTTAAGAGGTTAGTAATAACAAAATAATTTGATTTTAAAACTATTGATAGCTATCTTTTCAAACTAACTGTAATTTATAAAACTTATATTTTAGTTAAATATAAAAACTCACCAAGATTCCGTTTGTAATTGTTTCCACTGTAAGTGTAACACTAACAGATGTATTCTGTGCAGCTGATGCCATTACAACTATTATTAGAAAAGTTTTGGAATTTTGCTTGAGAATTCTAGTTCCTCAGAAGCTAAACAACTAAAAGTTGATTTCTCAAGTTCGATTCAAATAGTTTACTCACAAATTTTGGAGCTAATTAATTGTGACTTGTGTGCTGCTACAACTAGGCCTAACTATATTATAAACTTGATCTTGACTGGATAAAGCGGAAGTTTAGCTTAACTAAACTAAACACATGTACACTCCAGTATCAAAGTAACTTTCTATTGAATATTTTGATTGTTACGTTAAACACTTTTTTTACTAACAAACCTTTAAACTTTTACTATGTTAAGTAAAGTTTTTAACTGATGACTTCTACGTTTCGCATCAAATAGAATTACCATAAAATTATAAATTCAGAAATTAAACAATGTAAGCCTAAATCCTCGAGTAATTGTTTTTACCAGCGCGACCTCTATATCATATCGGCTACGAATAGTAATTGTTATATTTTATTACAAGTTGCAGCTTTTACTATAAGTAGGATTTGTATTTAGAACAGGTGTGACGTTTCGATCACTGGTGCGATCATTCTCAAGTACAAAAGTTTTAACGGTAAAGAACGATTTCGTATTTAAATCAACATTCAACAATCTAACAATGTTTTAAATTCTAGAATTTATAATGGTTACTTATGCATGTTCACATCAATCCACGTGAATTAACAGATTATTTATTTATGGCTAAATAGAAAACAAAAGTGAATGTATATATATATATATATA